CCTCATAAGCCACACCCCTACATTGTTCCTAGGATTTCTGAGTTCATTTGTGAACCAGGTGCCTGAGAGGATATGCGCAGTAACGGAGAAAGCACTTGGGACTCTTATAATAAGTCTTCTTTAGTACTGCACTGAATGGAAAAAACTCAGTCTACATTTCATGATGCTATCTTTTTGTTTCCTGGTATTGAAAAGCGAGAAAAACACCACCCCATTCCAATGCTTCCTCTAACCAGTGGAGTCTTGTGAGCAAAAATTCTACTTTGTGAGCTGCTGGCATTAACGTTGTGAGCAAGCAATTTGCTCCTGCATAAAATCAGTTTGCTCTGGAGCCCTCCTTCCTGAGCAAAGGCAAAAATCTGTGAGCTGGAGGCTAAAAAACTGAGCTAGCTCACACTCACTCGGCTCAGAGGGAACGCTGCGTTCTCCTTGTGCTTGTGAGAGGCAGGGCTGCCAAAGGGGCCTCCGGAGAAACACCCTGTCCCTTTTACGCAAGCTTTATGGTTCTTTCTTTAACCAGGTGGTGTCATTTACCTCCAGGCCAGGAAAAGCTTTTGCAGCCCATTTCCACACATGATGCCTCTGTTAAAGGAACAGGAGTTTCCTCCAGGCCTGTTGGCAACCCAGTGAGAGATGGGATAAAAACAAAACAAAAAGGACTCACCCAACAAAGGTGATGTAAAGAGAGATGTGAGAGGGCCCAAGGGTGCCAGTGATGCACAGGTTCCTTTCACTAAATGGAGTGTCCTCGGCCAGTGAAGTCCCTCCCAGCATGGCTCTGTCTTCACACTATATATTCACAGGGGGCCTCCTCTTGCTCTGGGCTGGAACCTATCCTCTTGTGGCTTCCTGAATTTCAGAAGGGAATTCTCAGGGATTTGTTGCTTTCATTTCCAAATCCTGAATCTCCACGGAGCATTAAGAGCAGCTAATCCTCAGCATTTCTCCCGGGGGGGGGGAACTTCTACCTCTCCTTCCCCCAGAAGAGCCCCAATCCCAACTAGGTGGACTCCAGACCTCCTCCAGAAGGCTCTGGTGGCTAACTGAGCTGGACTCCTCCTGCCTCCCCTCTCCCGCTCATTCCCTTGCTGGAGTTCAAGAACTGGGACTGGGGTCCTGCATCACCACCAGTCGGAGTTCTTCCCCCTTGCCACAACGCACCGTGGATCTCACGTAAACTGCGCCACTACTCACACAAAGCAGCTATGCCTGCTCAGTTAGCAGCACCCCAGCACAATACCAGCCAGGGCTAGGGATCTCCGGTGTGCAAACGAAGCATCCGCAACTGCTTTGCACAGGTTGCAGCAGAGTTTTTGGGGGGAAATGCAAAGTCCTGTGAGCAGGGGTCATTTCGTAGAAAAAGAGGTGCAGGAGCTCATTAGCAGGGGTCATTTCCTGCAGAAGCGCACAGGAGCGGAGCTCCGGCAGTAAGAAGCCCAGGGGGTGGGCACATGCAAAAAGCACCCCCCCCTGCTCCCAGCAGCCCTCAGAAGAAGCAGCCAGGTCAGTTGTAGAGCCCCCCCCCCCGGCTGCCCAGTCCAAAGCAGTCCAGTGTGTGGCATATGCAAATAAGTTATGCTAATGAGTTATGCTAATGAGCTCCTGCACCTCTTTTTCTACAAAATGACCCCTGCTCATTAGCATAACTTACTTGCATATGCCACACCCCCTGACATCACCGGAAGTGTGTCAGAAGGCAACACCCACCACTCAGGCTCCACTGGACTGTTTTGGATTGCTAGGGGGGGGGATGTGCAGATCTGCCCTCACAGAGGAGGGAAAGCTTGTATCTGAAGGCGAGCCGGGAGGGGGCAGCTCTGCAACTTACCTGGCTGCTTCTTGCTTCTCATGGCCCAACTGAGGCCTGCTGGGAGCAGGGGGTGGGGCTTATTGCATGTGCCTGCTCCCTGGGCTCCTTACTGCCGGAGTTCCGCTCCTGCCGCTCCCGCAGGAAATGACCCCTGCCTGTGAGGAAAATGTAAACTCCTGTGAGGAAACTCTTTGGGCCTCACCGGCTTCACATGTCAATCAGGCTTCATGGAGGCCTACCTGACAATGTTGTTGAACAAAGCAGAGTTAATGATGCAGAGCATTTCAGGGGGGTGTGCTTCGTAAGATGAGGGCCTGGGGCTCAGTGGCAAAGCGCATGACTTGCACGCAGGAGGTCTCAGGTTCAGCCTACGGTCCATCCAATGAAAGGATCCTGGCAGCAGGTGTTGGGAAAGACCTGAACGGCTGCTGTCCGAGTAGACAAGGGCCTGATTTGGCATAGCGCTGCTTCATGTGTTCACTGTATAACTATTAAGACACCAACAAAAGGGTGGGGCTATGGCTCAGTGGTGGAGCATCTGGTTTGCATACAAAAGGTCCCCGGTTCAATCCCTGGCACCTCCAGTTAAAAAGGATCAGGGATTAAAAGATATGAAAGACCTCAACCGAAAACCCTAGAGCGCTGCTGCTAAACAAGGTAGGAAATACTGACCTTGATTGGTACAAGGCAGCTTCTTGAGTCCGATAATTGTCTGGGTGTCTTGGTGCACGTCTGCTCATGTTGACTGAGCGGCTGAGTTGGGTTGCCAGCTCTGGATTGGAAAACACCTGGAGATTTTGGAGGGTGGAGCCAGGGGAGGGTGGTGTTTGGGGAGGGGAGGGACCTCAGCAGGGCAGAATGCCCGGGGCAAATTGCCCAGGGGTTGCCCCCCCCCCCCCCAAGCTGCCATCTTTTCCAGCAGAACTGATCTTGGTCACCTAGAGATCAACTGTGAGGGATCTCCAGGTGCCACCTGGAGGTTGGCAACCCTAAGGCCGAGAGCTGAGGCCACCAATATAAAATCACTCTGATAAATCGACCTGGGGGTCTAAAGGGTGGCTGTGGCTGTGAGCAGAGTTAAGGGTAACGGTTATCTGATTAACCGTTTGGTGTAGTGGTTAAGTGCGCGGACTCTAATCTGGGAGAACCGGGTTTGATTCCCAACTCCTCCACTTGCACCTGCTGATGTGACCTTGGGTCAGTCACCAGCTCTGGCACAGCTGTCCTTGAAAAAGAGCAGTTTGTGTCAGAGTTCTCTCAGCCCCACCCACCTCACAGGGTGTCTGTTGTGGGGAGGGGAAGGGAAAGGAGCTTGTAAGCCGCTCTGAGACACCTTTGGGTAGTGAAAGGTGGGGTAGAAATCCAATCTCCTCCTCCTCCTCCTAAATTATCCACAGCAAACCAGGCATGTTTCCTGTGCATTTGCACACTCAATTCACAGTGCAGTCCTAGGCAGAGCCATTCTAGTCGAAGCCCATTCCAATCAGGGCAGAGTTGCTCCAGTCTCTGCCATCATTCCCTCTAAGCTGAGTTTGAGTCAGCTCACAGTTTTTTACCCTCCGGCTCATACATTTTTGTCTCAGGAAGGATGGCTTCAGAGCAAAGTAATTGATGCAGTAGCCCAATCGCTCGCTCACAACTGTCATGCCAGTAGCTCACAAGGTAGAATTTTTGCTCACAGGACGCCACGGCTTAGAGGGAGCACTGGTCAGCCCACAGATTGGCTGAGATAAAAGGTAACTGCAGTCTCTCCTTCTCCCCCGTCACGGCTGTTCTGGCTCCTTAGACCTTCCTGGAATCCAAACGCCCCCACGTGTGTGTCAATTTCTCAAGAGTGATGCTGATGATCAAAGCTGGCCTGGGAGGTCACATGCTCGGAAGTCCCGCCTCCTCTACACAGGACGGCAGGAACCCATCGCCAGCCTCAGCAAGGGCTCTGCGGAAACAGAAATGCACTCTGCACATGGTCAAAGGCTCTCTTCTGCTACACGCCACGTTTCAGGCCTAGAATTGGGAGCTGAATCCTGGACAACCCTAGATCCAGCTATGGCTACCAAGGCAATGAGTCCCACTTCGGGTGCATCAACTAACGCAAAGGAGCAAGTGGGAGTGGCCAGTTTTAGCCTGCCAATCTAGTGGCACCTCTAACAGCAACTTTATGGGTAGACGCCCGTGAGTGATAATATTTACTGCCATGCTGTGAAAAGCATCGCCTGCTAACTTCTTTAGAACCAGCAGCTATTCCAAGCACAAGAGCAGGTTTGGGTTTTCCCCTGCTCAGTTGGCAAAGTTACTAAAACCAGGATACAATTAGGGGCAGGGGGCACTGCAGTGCCTTTCAGACTTGAGCCACCGCAGCTCCAAGTTACTAAAACCAGGATACAATTGGGGGCAGGGGGCACGGCAGTGCCTTTCGGAATGGAAGAGAGGGGACTGACCCCTTCTAAACAGAGAGCTTCCCTCTTCACCATGCACTTCTATTTGGCAGAAAGGGCTACTCAGCTGGGGCCTTAGAGAATATGTTGTGAGGTAGGATTGGACGGAAGAAGACTGTTCAAATAACTGAGGGCCTTTGGCCGGCAGGCTGGCCGGAGCTTTTCTGCTAAGGCCTGATAAGACGAACAGATCTGATGATGTTGAAGTTGGATTTAGGATTCCTGGATTCAAATTCACCTCTCCTATGGCTTCACTCCCCAGTTGTTCAGCCGGGTGCTCTCTCGCTCGCTCTCATCCTGTTCCCAATATTCCGAGTTAAGAACCAAGTTTGATGTTTCAGAGGGAACACATGGTACGACCCACCTGGACTGTACCCTCTCAGAATGCAGGGGGAGCAGGAGTTAATACTTCCCGAATGCCTCCCTTCCACAGAACTCTAGCACCTCTGAAGGAAAGACACTCAACACAACCTTCTTTTCAATATGCTAGAGGTGTGCTGGGGGGGGGTTGATGGGAAGGGAGTATTTCGATATGGGAAATGCCTGTCCCACCATCCCCACTTCAGAGTCCTGAGGTACCTCCACCTGAGGTATCATCACCATCCCAGTAGGACTATACCACATGGTTTTCTTACGAGCTGCATCGTTCTGGATTTCTTAATGGCCGCATCAGCCGGGACGTAACAAAGAGAGCAAAAGGAGAGCCATGGCTTCCCCCCAGCAAATGTCTCTAGGAGTCAAGGTCAGACACCCGCTCATGACGTGGTGGGGGGCTGGGGCCAGCCCTCGTGGGTCAGGGCAGATGCCCAGCTGGAGCTGCTCTCCCCCAGCCTCCACGGATCGGGAGGCAAGAACCCCTTCATGCCCCACCCCCGCAGCCCCCCAGCTGGGGAGGCACTGGGGACGGGGCCTTGGAAGGGAGTTGGGAGGGCCTCGGGCCACGTGGCAGCGACTGGGGTGCTGCTGTTCCTGTCCCCCTCGCTCCACCAGGGCGGCACAAGTGAGAGGGGGGGTTCCGAAAGAGCGGGCAGCGGCTCCTTGGGGTGCTTAGCGCCGGAGGATGAGGAGAGGCCTTTGCCCGCCTCGGTCCCTCCCCGTGCCCCTCCTTTCAAGGGCCGGTCAGCCGAATGCGTGCGCTGGTGGCGGTTCCGGTGGGAGCTGCGGCTGAAGCACTTCCCGCACTCGGGGCACTGGTAAGGCTTCTCGCCCGTGTGGACCCGCCGGTGCCTCTCTAGGTGAGAGACAAAGCTGAAGCTCTTGCCACAGACGGTGCAGTCGTAGGGCTTCTCGCCCCGGTGGGTCCGCTGGTGCGTGAGCAGCTGAGCGCCGGCCACAAACCGCTTCCCACACTCCTTGCACTTGTGGGGCTTCCCGCTGGAGTGGGTTCTCTGGTGCTGGAGGAGGGTGGAGCTGACGCTGAAGCTCTTCCCGCACTCGTTGCAGCGGTACGGCTTCTCCCCGGTGTGGATCCTCCGGTGCCGGTCCAAGTGGGAGCTGACGCTGAAGCTTTTCCCACAGTCCCCGCACTCATACGGCTTCTCCCCGGTGTGGATTCTCCGGTGCCTTTCCAAGTGGGACGTCCAGCTGAAGCTCTTCCCACAATCGGAGCACCGATAGCGCTTGCTCTCGGCTGCGTGGGACTTCTGGTGCTTCACCAGCGACGCCAGCTCTCCGTAGGTTTTCCCACACTCGGTGCACTTGTGCGGCCTGTCGGGGGAGTGCACGCGCTGGTGCCTCTCCAGGTGGGAACTGACGCTGAAGGCTTTGCCGCACTCCTCGCACCGGTATGGCTTCTCTCCCGTGTGGATTCTCTTGTGCTTGATGAGAGCGGAGCACCAGCTGAACTTTTTCCCGCACTCCGGGCACTGGTAAGGTCTTTCTCCTGTGTGGATTCTCTGATGCTTCACCAGCGACGAACTCTGACCAAAACCTTTTCCACAGTCCGGGCACTTATAAGGTTTCTCGCTGCTAACTGGTGGCGAGGGCGGAGGCGGGGGCTCAGGGACAGCCCGTCTGCGGCTACATTCTGCGCATTTCGTGGGGTCCCTGCCCCCATTTGGGGAAGTCTGGAGGTGGTGGAGGGTTGCCACACTGAGGTAGAAGTTTTTCCCGCACTCTATGCACTGGCGTGGCTTCTCCCCTGTGTGGATTCTCTGGTGCCTGTAGAGGTGGGAGCTGCGGCTGAAGCTCTTCCCACAGTCCGTGCACTGATACGGCCTCTCTCCTGTGTGGATTCTCTGGTGTCTCTCCAGGTGGGAAGTGAAGCTGAAGCTCTTCCCACACTCCAGGCACTCGTACGGCTTCTGGCCCTGATGCTTCCTCTGGTGAGCCACCAGGTTAGTGCTAACGTTGAAGCCCTTCCCGCACTCCTCGCACTGATAGGGCTTGTCGTTGGCATGGGTCCTCTGGTGCTGGACCAGGGTGGAGCTAACAGTGAAGCTCTTCCCGCACTCTTTGCATTGGTAGGGCTTCTCCCCTGTGTGGATCCGCCGGTGCCTCTCCAGGTGTGACCCGACGCTAAATGCTTTCCCACACTCTTTGCACTTGTAGGGTTTCTCCCCCGTGTGGATCCTCCGGTGTCTCTCCAGGTGGGAGGTCCAGCTGAAGCTTTTCCCGCAGTCCTCACACTTGTAGGGCTTGTCGCCCGCGTGGCACTTGCGGTGTTTGGCGAGAGCCTCAGCCTCGGAGAAGCTCTTCTCGCATCCGTCGCACTTGTGGGGCCTCTCATCCAAGTGAAGTCTCTGGTGCCTCAGGAGGTTGGACTTCTGGCTGAAGCTCTTGCCGCAATCAGAACACCGGTGTCCCCTCTCGCCTGCCGGTGGTTTCCCATGAGGCAACAGGGGGTTGGAGATGCCCACGGTCTGCGGGTGTGGTTTAATCTGCTGCTCTTTCAAAAAAATGCTGCTCGTTCCCTTCAGCTGTTGAGCTTCCTAGTCTCTCTTCCGGCTGGCTCTCTCCCTCGACTGGATTCCCCTCTAGAGACCTCTTTGCTCTCAACTCTGTCTTGCTGGGAGCCTCTGGATGAGGAAGATCCCCCTCATTCTTTCTCCTCAGATCATCACCTGAGGAGATAAATTCACAAAAGGGGGTGAGACAGATTAACTGAGGACATTCACAAAAGGGGGTGAGACAGATTAACCGAGGACAGGTCCATCAGTCAGTAGCGACTACTCATGATGCCACGTAGGACATTCAGATGGAGGGCAGGGGGCTGTTCCTGTTGGCAGCAGAGGATAGGATTTGCAAGAATGGGTTTAAATTAAGGGCGGGGAGGTACCGGCTGGATATGAGGAAAAACGTTTTGACAGTGAGAGTTGTGCAACAGTGGAATCGGCTGCCTAGGGAGGTGGTGAGCTCCCCCCACTGGCAGTCTTTAAGCAGCGGCTGGACAGACACTTGTCAGGGATGATCTAGGCTGGTCCTGCATTGAGCAGGGGGACGATGATTTGGATGGCACCTTCCCACTCTGTGATTCTCTGATTCTATGAAGAGGCAGTATGCGTCTGAATACCAGAGCCAGTGAATACCAATGTGGTGTAGTGGTCAGAACGTTGGACTAGGTTCTGGGAGACCTGGATTCAAATCTCCACTCTGACCTGGAGCTTGCTGGGTGACACTGAACCAGACACACTCAGCCCAGCCTACATCACAGGGTTGTTGTGAGGATAAACGGGGAAAAGGAGAACCACGTACACTGCTCTAAGCTCCTTGGAGCCAAGGTGGGGTAAAAATGGCCTAGTTCAGGGGTCCCCAACATGGTGCCCGCCAACACCTTTTCTGGTGCTTGCCAAGTGTTTTTAGGAAGTGGGTGAAGCCAGGCAGGGCTTTTTCCCAGCAAGGCTTCCGATTGACTAGTGGAGATTTGATTGGCGGTGCAGATTTTTTAAAACGTTACTTTGGCGGCAGCCTGTCCCACTGTTACTCACTGTTACGGAAGTTGAGCTGTCGCAATCATTTTGTGGCTGAGGGGGCCATTTTGTGGTTTTGCCCACCATGCCGTGTAAGATTTCCAAATGTGCTCGCAGACCTCAAAAAGGTTGGGGACCCCTGGTCTAGATGTTGGAGAGCTGAAGGGGGAGAGCTGCCCCATGTCCTATGTGGGAGATCCACACATGTGAGTGGCTGACTGTGTTAAGAAACATGATGCTGGAACTGACGGATGTTTGCTCGTCTGGTGATGCTCAATGACCCAACTGACTCCACTGAAAAGCACCACGTGTGCGTGTGTGGGAAGGGTGTTGATCTGCCCCAGCCCATCCATGTTTGCAAGCCACCATGGGCTGCAGCAGTTATTCAGTAGTGGGCACAGGGATGCCAACCATCCTTAGGCCTTCTGGAGACTCAAGTATGCTGTCTGTCTGTCCCCCATTATTGAACTGCATCTCCATTCAGCTCTTCCCAGGCAGAATTTGTAGCCATCACGCTTCAGGAAAGCCACTTTCCAGTCCTGAGGTGCAGCTCTGTTTTGGTGTCTGGGTTCCTGACCTGGGCTGGCCTCCTTCAGTATCTCCCTGCCCTCGGACTCCTGAAGGTCTGGAACCCACAGATCCTCCCCTCGGTCCATCCAAGAGAGCAGGTCAGGTTTAGAAAGTGGAAATCCTGCAGATGAGATAAAAAGGAAGGGCTTGACTCCCATGGACAGCACCCTGTTATTCCCTTCTTCGACTGTGGTGTTCCCCTGGGCATATTTATTCACACTCTGAACACTTTTCAGCCTGGAATGTGTCACTTATCATAGAATGTTAAGAGTTGGAAGGGACCTTGCAGGTCATCTAGTCCAACCCCCTGCACTCTGCAGGAGCATAGCTGAAAGAGAGCCCTACAACATATCCAAAAGGTGGTCGTCCAGCCTCCGCTTGAAAATGCCCAGCGAAGGAGCATCCACCACCTCCCGAGGCAGTCTGTTCCACTGCTCAAATGCTCTTACAGTTAAGAAGTTTCTCCTGATATTTAGTCAGTAATGACTCCCTTGTAATTTCCACCCATTAGATCTAGTCTTGCAATCCGGAGCAAGAGAGAATAGATCTGCTCCATCTTCTACATGACAGCCCTTCAAATACTTGAAGACTGCAATCATGTCCCCTCTAAGCCTTCTCTTTCCCAGGCTAAACATACACAACTCTTTCAGCCTTTCCTCATAAGACTTGGATTCCATCCCTCTCACCATCCTGGTTGCCCTCTTCTGGACATGCTCGAGCTTGTCAACATCCTTCCTAAAATGTGGTGCCCAAAACTGGACACAATACTCCAGGTGAGGCCTGACCATAGCAGAATAGAGCGGAACTATCACCTCCCGTGATCTGGACACACTGCTTCTGTTAATGCATCCTAAAATTGCATTAGCTTTCTTCACAGCCACATCGCACTGCAGGCTCATGTTTAGCTTGTGATCAACCAGAACACCTAGATCCCTTTCACATGTGCTGCTGTCAAGCCAAGTCCCTCCCATTCTATATCTGTGCCTTTGATTTTTTGTACCTAAGTGTAGGACTTTGCACTTATCTCTATTGAAATTCATTTTATTTGTCTCAGCCCACTGTTCCAGCCTATCTAGATTGTTCTAACCCGACAGCTCAGCAATTTCATTGTGTGCCCACGAGTTCTTGTATTGTGAGAAAGGGAGAAAAGGCCTTCTTTCTCTACCTGATCTATCCCATGCATAATCTTATAAACCTCGATCATGTCACCCCTCAGCCGTCATTTCTCCAAGCTAAAGAGCCCCAAACGCTTTAACCTTTCTTCATAGGGAACGTGTTCCAACCCTTTGATCATTCTAGTTGCCCTTTTCTGCACTTTTTCCAAAGCTATAATATCCTTTTTAAGGTGTGGTGACCAGAACTGTACCGTACTGTGGCAAAGCTCATGCACAGCACATTTCTTTATTGCATAAATGGGATTAACGTGATGTAGAAGGTCCGTGCGTTTGAGTTCTTGCACCAAGCACGCTCAATTTACCTGATGCCAACCCTCTCCGGTGGGACTCAGCCAGCGCAGTGATCCGAGGCAGGCTAATCGCCATCTCTTCTGCTAACAAGAAAGAGGAGAGAATCCCATCAGGAGATCAGATGAGTTGATTGGGTGTGCTGATTCATTCTTTGGCTCTGTTGACATATTGCCCCACTGCTAACTTTCTACTAGAACATTTTGCATTTCCCCACTTTTGAGGACAACTGCATTATGCCAAGTTCCACTGCTGTGCTGAGGCTTGTCGGTAAGACAGCACCTGAGATCATGAATTGGGGAACTGTGCTTGGAATTCCAGACATGTCAGGTGCAATGCTCCCTCTCAGCTGTGGAGTCCTGTGAGCAGAAATTCTACTTTGTGAGCTACTGGCATTCAAGTTGTGAGCAAGCGATTTGGATACTGCATAAATTAGTTTGCTCTGGAGCCACCCTTCCTGAGCTGAGACTAAAATGTGTGAGCTAGAGGCTAAAAAACTGTGAGCTAGCTCACACTAACTCAGCTTAGAGGGAACACTGGTCAGGTGCAATGCTCCCTCTCAGCTGTGGAGTCTTGTGAACAAAAATTCTACTTTGTAAACTACTGGCATTAAAGTTGTGAGTGAGCAATTTGGCTACTGCATAAATTAGTTTGCTCTAGAGCCCTCCTTCCTGAGCAAAGACAAAAATGTGTGAGCCGGAGGCTAAAATACTGTGAGCTAGCTCACACTAACTCAGCTTAGAGGGAACACTGGTCAGGTGCAGTCCCATCCTCTCTGAGACTGGATACACTGCACTGTAAAAGATAGGCTGGCTGGCCACAGCATGGAGGGGCGCCTGTGGCTCAAAGGCAGAGCACACGGGTTGCCTGCCAAAAGGCCCCGCTGTTCAGTCCCTGGCAGCTTGAGTTCAGGGATCCCAAGTGATAGGAAGTACCTGTCTCTGCTTGAGACTCTGGCAAATGACTGCTGGTCAGAATGGGCTATTCTGAGCTAGATGGACCAGGGTCTGGCTCAAGGCTAAGACAAGAGAAGGATACTAGGTCTGTGATATTTCTGTGTAGGTAAGAGAGCCAGTTTGGTGTAGTGGTTAGGAGCATGGACTCTAATCTGGGAGAACTGTGTTTGATTCTCCACTCCTCCACATACAGCTGCTGGGTGACCTTGGGTCAGTCACAGCTCTCTTAGAACTATTGCCTCAAGATTAGTTCTCTCAAGAGCTCTCTCAGCCCCACCTACCTCACAGGGTGTCTGTTGTGGGGAGGGGAAGGGAAGGAGATTGTAAGCCGCTCTAAGAATCCGATTGAAGGGCAGGGTATAAATCCAATCTCTTCTCTTCTTCTTCTAAGAATAGAGTAACCCTTAATGGCAGCAGACACTATGATAATTTGAATGTTTCTTTTGCTCCATTCAGGAGGGGCACTGAGAAACTGGAGGCCAGCCCCTTTAATAGTCTGAAATCCCCCCTTTCAAATCACATGCTTTGATTCCTATTATTGCTACATCTGCTATGAATGTACTCGGAGCTTCCTGGGTGCCTTCAGGCAACAGACTGCAAGTAAACAATGAAACATCAACTGGTTTTTCCTCATGATTGTTACATTGTGAAAAAAACCTATAATTAGGATGACATTTACATAGTGGTCATTATACCACAATCTGTATAGAATGGTTTGTCTGTACTGGCAGCACAGTTCTATACCTGTTCAAGGGGAGTGATACGATTCTTCTCATTCTTTGGGAGGCTAATACAGCTAACCAAGCAGTCACATGAACCGTAGGGTAATTTATCACTTGACTAACAGTGGCCCACATTCACATGGAGACAGCACCAGAGTGTGATCTCTTCCACAGATCTCCCAAGAACCAATAGAGACAAATTCGTGGCAGATTGGTCTATCACAACTATAGGCCTTAAGAGCTATATGGAACCTTCATGCTCAGCGGCAGCATATCTTAGAATATCAGGCTCTGAGGACAGATAACTTGGAAAGACTATTGCCTTCTTGCCCTGCTTGAGGACCCGGTGAGTCTCTTACTGGTCACTGTTGACAACGGAGTCCTAGACTAGGCAGACTTTTGGTATGACCCATCAGAGACATTCTTATGGCCCCCCAGTTCTTCAGTGACGAGCTGTATGCTTACCCAGAGAGATGAGCGTCTCATAATTCTCCTGCATGGTGCTCCAGAGAAGGCCTCAAGCAGGAGGCCCTACTCTCGGCTGAAGCACAACAGCCTCCTTGGCGGTCTCTGGCATCTGAAACAACCCCCCAGTTCTTCAGTGACGAGCTGTATGCTTACCCAGAGAGATGAGCGTCTCATAATTCTCCTGCATGGTGCTCCAGAGAAGGCCTCAGGCAGGAGGCCCTACTCTCGGCTGAAGCACAACAGCCTCCTTGGAGGTCTCTGGCATCTGAAACAACAAGCGACCCATCTGTTCAATTGCTCCTAAATCTCTGGAAGTCAAAAGCTGAAAATAGAAAGATGGGGGGAGGATGTTTAAAAACCCTAGGGGACTCGTAGCATAGTGCAACCACTAAGAGTTCTATGCTTAGAGGACCCCAAGGACCGCTCTTTAACCACCCCACCTGCACCAGCTGTCTAGAAACCGACTCAGCTCTTCATTACCTGTTCCTGATGAATTGCCTCCCCCACCCCTTATTTGTCTTTTGGTGATGCCTTGCCCTTCATTCAAGGGGACCCCCATCCTTTAAAAAAACAGCCTGTACGATGATTCTCAGCTGCTAAAAGGAATTTTGTTATTTCCCATTACTACAAATTATTTCAAATTCACATAAAATATTGAGAGAATTTGTTTATATATCCTTCCTTATTTCTATTTTTAGACTGGGAATTATGAAAACATATTATATGGACAAAATAGTGCTATCGGTAATGTTATAATACTATAATGATTTACTTAGTTTTATTAATCCATTTTTTAAATATTGTCTTCAGTAGTTGCTGTAGATTTTCCAGGATGTGTGGCCGTGGTCTTGGCATTGTAGAACCTGATGTTTCGCCAGTAACTGTGACTGGCATCCTCAGAGATATAAACACAGAAAGATGGAATACTCTCTGTGTCAAGGTGAGAAGAAAATGGTAGGCAGTAAATTTATATCTACTCCAGAAGGACATGCTAATGGAGGAGCTTTCCTGAGGAGGTTCTTTTGTTTCCTGAGGAGGTTTCCTGCTTCCTGAGGAGTTTGTTGAAATTCTGATCTTATCTGTACTGCTATTGTCTGATGTAAAGCCTTTTGTGTTTTTCAGGACAGGAAGCCATGTCCTATTTATTTTTAAACTCTCTTCTTTCCTGTTGAAATTATGTTTATGTTTGTGAATTTCAATGGCTTCCCTGTGTAATCTGACATGGTAATTGAAAGTGTTGTCCAACCTTTCAGTGTCTTGGAACAAAATACTGTGTCCTGTTTGAGTTAGGCTGTGTTCAGCCACTGATGATTTTTCAGGTTGGCCAAGTCTGCAGTGTCTTTCATGTTCTTTTATTCTTGTCCGAATGCTACGCTGTTTGGTCCCGATGTAAACTTGTCCACAACTGCATGGTATGCGGTATACTCCTGCAGAAGTCCATAGCATGTCCATAGCCTGGGGAACTCCTACAAGACCATGACTCAGCCCTACCCACCTTCTGGAGTAGATATAAATTTACTGCCTACCATTTTCTTCTCAC